TCCAGTTTTCCGTGCAGGCAAACTGGACCCTCTATGGCCGGCCAACTCCTCTGGCCAATGATTTCCCCCTTTGCCGATTTCTACTATTTATTCAGCCTGCAAAGGAGTCTGGTAGAGACTACAGAGGTACTACTGTCTGGTACTACTATCCTTCAAATGAGGCTTGTCATCATGTCTTTGATCATCAAAGTGCATCCATTGTTTTTCTAGGGACAAGTGCCCGGTTCCACCGGCAAACAAACGGTTTCTCATCAACACTTTGGCCAGCCAGCTGTCTGATAAAAATCGCCAACAGCGGTCGGAGAGAAAAAAGAGTGACAACGACGGTCCATCCAGTTCATCACCATCAACCAATCAGAGACGTGCTACTGCTAGGTCTAGCTCCACGGGAAAATCGAGAACACATCATGATGCCGATAGTGCATCAAGGAAAAAGGACAGACATAGGAAATCTCGTTCCAGATCAACATCTAGATCAAGATCTAGATCTAGATCTAGAGATTCTCATAAACACTCGAAATCATCCAAGTCAAGGTCGCATAGACACTCGTCAAGGTCAAAATCATCTGAGCAGAGCAGAAAAGAAACCTCTTCATCACGCTCAAGTCACAGATCAAAAAGGGACAGATCAAGAAGTCAGAGTAAAGAATGACATGTTTGGCACACTAAAGTAGCTGTTTCGCTACCAGCCTCTATTGGTTATGCAGTTAGCAGGGTTTGAAATACTAAGTGAAGCACCTTAGTGCAGGTCAAATTGGAGCAGGTATTTCTGATGTCTACCTGCACCTAACCCACACTGGTCCATGTACTGGGTATATGCAGGTTAGTGCAGGTAAAATTGGAGCTGTGCAGGTATTTCTGATGTCTACCTGCACCTAACCTGCACTGGTCCATGTACTGGGTATGTGCAGGTTAGTGCAGGTAAAATTGGAGCTGTGCAGGTATTTCTGATGTCTTCCTGCACCTAACCTGCATTGGTCCATGTACTGGGTATATGCAGGTTAGTGCAGGTAAAATTGGAGCTGTGCAGGTATTTCTGATGCCTAACCTGCACTGGTCTGTGTACTGGGTTTATATACAGAATGAAGATGTAGGTGTATTTTCTGCATTGACTGACACCACCTATGAAGTATAAAAGAAATAATGGCAATAAGACAAATAGCACATGGCTGAAGGCTTCACCAGCTTTACTTTTGACTCAAAACATGCAACAGTCAGGATTGTAGAAAGTTACTTTCATCAGAGGAAACACAAGCGAGAACATGACAACATTCACTGACCCCAGTAACAATAGGTAGAGAAATAGCCATTGCAAAAGTTGGTTTGTGTAAATCTGACTCTTAGTTAGACACTTGTTTACATTCTTTACAAGAGGAACCAAACAAAGCCGTACAAAACTGTGTGGCATTTTGGACAGAATGTATGTGTTGTGTGAAAAACAAAACGTTTTACTCATATTTGTTATACATGTCCTAAGCTACTTTTGATGTGATTTCTTGAGCAAGGAAGTTGACAGTTTCATCCTCCTTAAGTCTAGTATCCCCTGACAGCATCTCAAACACTTTTATTAAGGTGGTTGCTGCATCGTCGGTGCAGGCGTCATGTCCGCAGCTCTTCTTGTGCCCGCCCAGCCAGTGTTGTTTCTGACAGTCTCGGCTGCAGTACCGGGTCAGCTTGCACCGGGCACACAGCTTCAGGGTGGACCTGGGGAGCAGAAACAGTTACCTATACACGCACGTGCAAACACACACAAATGCACACACACACATGTGCGCACACACACACACACATACACACACACACACACAAGTCACAACATCAAAAACAATACCCACATACCCGGGTGTGAGAAGACCTACCTGTTTCCCCGCTTTCCACATGTAGGGTTGCAGCATTTCAGCAGCCCTGTCTGCAGTGCCTCTTGTATCAGTTCCACCAGCTCTGCACGTGCGGGGAGGCACTCTACTCCATCCACACTTAATAACTCGCAGTACCTGGTTTTGTAGGTTTGCACAACAAGTTAGAGATACGAGTACTAACATCAGCGGACAGATTAAAAAGTGATTTTTTGAGGCGAGTCAAAATTCTAAACATCTTTACACTTTACAAGTTCACCCCCATTCCCCAGACCTTTTGACCAGTCTTGCCAGCCTACTTTCATGTCTACCCAATTTTCTGTCTCTAGTTTCTACTGGGCTCATATTCTGAGACCTTTGACATTCTGTCTGTCAATCTTTCCCCACCCACGTGCTGTCAACCTACTCTGACCGGACATATACACAAACCCACGGCTCAGCCAACCAAAGCAGACAATACTTTTGTATCTGGAAGTAACAGTCGTTACGTTCTCACATGATGTGACACTTACTCCTGGGCCGTCAAGCGATTAACGTCAGTCAAACCAACTCTTGCTCCGAGCTCAGCCACCCAAAACAAGCGACAATTTTGTACCCGGAAGTTTTGTACCCAGTTGTTAATTCTTAAAGGACGTGACACTTGCCTTTGCACCGTCGTGCCGCGAACGTCGGCCAAATCAGGGCGGGCTCCGAGCTCGATCAGCTGTCGGAATGTGCTGACTTGTCTGTAGCCACTTGCCATCATGAGCGGGGTCCTCTGGAACGCGTCCCGCGTGTCTAACGTTGCACCGTGTTGTACCAGCAACTCCACCACTTCTGTGTGTCCTGGGTTGGAGTTGCAATGTGAGAAATATACAACGTTGTACTAGTATAATGTTTGCGATTTAATAGGTAACGTTAATAAAGATACTATTATTATGCAATATTTAAAAAAAAACTAGAAATTCAACATTTAAAAAGTACACAATGTTTTGTTTCACCTAGGATGTTATCCTTGCTTACACAACTGCTTTGTTCGTTGTCATGCAAATTAGCCTGGGTGCCATCCCCGTAGTATTCACCCGCTCTATAATGTCGAAGGTATGATTACTTAAGTTATTTTTTTATCCATGACCAAATACCTAGGCTCGCTGCAACATGAAGGGGAGAAAATGATCCCCCTTTGGATCTCTTTGTTACAGACGCCCCCTTGCGGAGCAGCAGTCTCACGATGTCTGCCCCCTGCCAGAAGCGATGAACAGAGCCGTTCTACCGCTGTTGGCGTCGTTGCCACCCTGGGCGTAGTCAACGTTCGCACCTGAGTTTTAGTAAAAAGTGACAAGGGAGACTTCAGTGAGTATAACTTTATAGCGCTTACGGAAGTCCTTGTGAGAGATACAACCTCCTTGGTTATTTGTGAAGCAGCCTGCTTGGAAATTCATTATCAGTCACTGCGAGAAAAGTGGTCAACAGTCGTGCCAGACTTTCCTTTTCAGTCGGAGCTTGTATGTAAATTTTCTCAACAGTCGGGGAAATATCAAAAGGTGTCACTTGTATATGTCACAGGGGAGATCGGAATCCAGGGGAATCCGCAATTCTCCTAGGGGAGATTGGAATCCCTATCTCCCCTAGGAGGATTCCAGTCTCTCCTAGGGGAAATAGGAATTCCAATCTCCCCTAGGGGAAATAGGAATTCCAATCTCCCCTAGGGGAGACTGGAATCCTCCTAGGGGAATCTGGAATCCTCCTAGGAGAGATTGGAATCATGATACTAAGTATTCTGATCCCAATACATGTATATTAGTAGAAATACTAGAACTCATAGATTGAATCATTTCACACCTAAACTTTCAACCACTTTCAGCCTAGGCAAGCCTATTACTACTGTATGTGAATTACTAGATTGGAATCAAGATCCTGGCATAATTGGCAGTTTTGAATCTGTCCTTCTAACTTAGATCCAAATCTAAATGAATTGGCAAAAGGAAACAACAATATTCTTACTAACCATGATTTTATTAACCTTATTTCAAGTCACTAGCTAACTAACTGGAAAAACTGGTTTTTGAGTCACTATCTCACAATGGCCTGATGCAAATATCTGGGTCTGATTTACATATTCACTTACCTATGATGATTTGATTGAAAGTTTAGGTGTGAAATAATTCAGTCTATTTTCCAAAGCATTAAATTTGATGCAAGCAGAATTTCTCCTTTTAAAATTGGAGATTGTCCTGTAAGAATTCCCACTTGTCCTAGGGCAGATTGGAATTCCTATCTCCCCTAGGAGAATCTGGAACTCTCCTAGGAGACATTGGAATTCAGATATTCAGATCTCAGTTTTGTAGAAGAAAAACTTCAATTCCAATTTCCCCTAGGGGAGATTGGAATTCTAATTTTCCCTAGGAGGATTCCATATTGTCCTAGGGGAGTTCCGGATTCCCCTGGATTCCAATCTCCCCTGTGACATGTAAACTGCACTTCACACTTATGTGCGAGTCCTTACCTGTTGTCTGCATATAATCGTCTACTTGTTCGAAGCAATCTTTTCAAATTCAAGCAGACGAGAAGAAAAACGTTTACTGGAGATGTAAACAACGCTTGTAAAATAATTTATAATTTTCTGGTCTTTCTACATATACCCAGTTTTCTGTCGCTACTCTCCACTAGGCATAGAGAACAGGGTATGATAGAAGTTCATAGAATAGAAAGGACGCAAATCGTCTTCCTCAACCACTGTACAGTAATCTTCTGAGTTCATTCGATAGGAAAAAGTAATCTCCAGGCAGATCTTTTGGTGGCTAAAAAGATAGTATCCAACACGCGGACAGTAATCCAGCCAGCCGACAGTATCAAGTTGGATGGGCCGGCTGTCAGAAAAAAACGGGGTATAGAAAAAGGTCACAATCTTCCCATTCAACCTCTGCTTGGAGAGTAAGGAAAAAGCAAACTTGCTGTATCCATGCCTCCATGATCCATGCAAGATGCACGAAACGGACATCTGCTTCAAATACAAACAGTTCCGGGTGCGGCAGCGGGAGATTTGGGGAAAAACAACTTAACAGCAGTTTTGTTTGGTACCAAAAATTCCTACTAGTAGTTGTTTCGACGCCTGGTTGTAAGGAAATAAAAAGAGGCACGAGTACAGTTTGAAACAAAATTATAGGCCATAGGAGAAATAGGATACCTTGCAGAGGCTAGCAAAGATGTGCTTACCGGCTTTCAGAGCTGCTTTGACGCCTCGCAGACAGCCGCTGTCAGCTGCTTCAAGCAGAGCTTCGTTCGCCATTTTCTTCGCGAGGATCGCTGCTGTTGTGGGCGCCGCGCGCGCTGTCAGGGGTCCGAACTGAAGACCAAGAGGACCCCCGGGGGGTGGTACGAGTATTTTGTCACGTGATCCATTGCTGTGGGTGGGGCCATAAATGGCTGCTTGTAAAAACAACTGATTTAAAACAACTCATTTCTTTTTCATTTTTAAAGCCAATGTAGTACTGTAAAGTCGGAGCGCAAGCTGTGCTCCTTCAGACGACCAACTCCCGACCGTGGCATGTAATTTTGCACTCTTTGCTGTTTGCAGCCGCTTGTGAAGCCTGGTGCGAGGCTAGCCCAAAGCCCCGCCCACGTGCACTAACTCAAAAGTGACAGGACAGTACGTCACGTGACAAGACAACTCCTCCTCCGGATCCCCACTCTTGACCACTTCTTCAGTTCAAACTCAGACGGCGACACGCGCAAGCTGTGCCCAACAACAACAGCGATCCACGCACGACGTCGACATGGCAAGAAACGCGAATGGAGCTCTGATAGACGCCGCCGAGAACGGCTGTCTTCGTGGTGTCGAAGCGGCTCTGAAAGCAGGTAAGCACGTACTCGCTAGCCTCTACAACACACAAGTCATTCAAACTTTACTCCGTCTAGCTCTGGCCTGATAACTCCGCAGCGCTGGCATACTACCCTGTCTGCCAGTATTTGGCAAAATTATGTTTTCAAGCACTGATCCGGTGAGCTTTAATAGTAGGGGCTACAAATTTCCAAATCCAAATTATACAGCCAGGCGTCGAACTATGGAATCCATCCAAGGAGGAGCCTTCTTGTTTTTCCCCAAATCTCCCGCTGCCACCCCCGGAACGGTTCGTAATCTAAAGCAGATGTCCGTGTGGTGCATCGCGTTTGTAGCCTCTACCAGGCTTCGATGATTGGTCGTGACCGCCTGTATCCAAAGTTCCACGTCCCGAAGCCTGGTAGAGGCTACGTAGAGGCTACAGACTATAGAAAAGTCACAATCTTCTCCAGACCACCAACTTCTTCTTAGAAATGATTTCCTCGGAAAAAAATCCTCCTAGTATTTGCAGCAGTACAGTTTCATTTGCGCTGTTGCAGAAATCGTCAGCAAAAGTTTTTTTTAATCCGACTGAATTTAAAAAGAGGGTTTCGAACAAGTACTAGTAGATGATTATTCAAATGTAAATCAACAGATAAGGACTCGCACACAAGTGCGAAGTACAGTGCACAAGCGACACCTTTTGATCTTTCCCCGACTGTGCAGACAAATTTACATACAAGCTCGGAATGAAAAGAAAAGTCTGACACGTATACGTGTGGGCCACTTTGTCTTTTGTTACCTCCGGGGAAGGAGATATCCTTCCGCGAGGAGGTTTTACTATGGTTCGAAACATTTCTGTCAGCAGCTGTTTCTCGCGATCGGCTGGACGGATTTGTCTGTGGTTCGGTATACGTATTGCTGTTGGGCTGCAGATGATGCAGAACGTTTTTGTTTAATTGCATATGTGTTTATGGGCGTGGAAATAAAAGGTTTTCAAGTGCTCCGGACACCCCCGCCATGCTGAAAATGGAATTTACCATGTTGTTAAGGAATGGGGAGGTTGCAGTTTTGGGTCTTACCATTTAAAAGGGGTCAAACAGAGGGGTGTCTGGTTCCGATAAAAACGTTGGGTGACGGCGCAGCAATGACGGCGCGGGATGACGGCGGGGGTAATGGCGCGGGTGACGCTGAACGCTGGGTGCAAGCCGAGTCAGCGCTAGATCTTCGTGTCGCGGCATTTATTTCCAGAAATACGGCGATACACGTCAATTTATTTCAAGTACGGCGCGTAGCTAGCATGGCAGCAGCCAGCAGAAGCGGTGGGCGGGCGGTATGCAAATCTTGCATGACGTATCCGCGTTACGCGTCTCTGATTGGTTGTTCGCTTCAGCTGAGATCGCCGGGCGGCAACATGAAGGGCGCGGGGACGCGATTTTTCTGTTTGAAAATATGCACTAAACGCTGTTTTCCAGGACTGCATAGCCACATCTAGTGAAAAAGTGCACAATTAATATAAATTTGGGGGGAAATAT